GTGTCAGGATGTTATAAAACAATAAATATTCCTTAGATTTAATTTAAAATATCTTTTCATTCCTTATATAAAAGCGTTGCTTATTACAACTTTGATGTGAAGTGGGAATGTCCACAAATCTGCAATAAAACAACTTCTTATCACAAACTAATCGCTATTTATTTTATTTAACACAACACTCAGATATAACTATTGGAAATTATTTTTCCTCACAAATCAACATCAAATACAGGACTGACAGCCAGTTATTAACAATCTCCAAGGTGTTCGGAACAATATTGCCGTATTAGCCTTCTTCAAAACAACATTTCAATGCTTATACAAACAGACAATAACCTTAGCTGTATTTTGTAGTGTCGTTTGAGGCAAATTACACCCTTGATTTATTCACTATGAAATCTGAAATAGCTATCATAAAAACTCATAAAACTTGCTAGGACAATGTTTGTTTAAGCTAGTGACAACGTTAGAACTTCAGGCTGATTGTTTTCCGATAGATAAGTTAGTCATATTACAGCAATATTACCACAACATGGTGTTACCAACTGTTAAAGTCACGACTAATAAAAAATAATCGTAAATAGGGTCAGTCTGGTACTTTATACAAAAACCTTAAAATTTTTAACCAGATATAGACGGTTAAAACTGGCCATAATCTAGACTTGGAAGCCTTGACAGATGGGGGTTTGTGAACCGTACTTCACTCGATGTCATACATTATGTTGAGGTATATCCAGTTGAGTAGAAAAACCTAAATCGAACTATTTTTCAAAGATTTGTGTTAATGTAGTTGACAAATAAATGTATATCTCCCTCAGTTTATTTATGTCCAGTCACACAGAACAAAGAATGCAGACAAAATCTAATATAACCTAAAATATGAGACAAAAGCGGCATTAACAGAAATTCAAAAGCCAGAATGCGGTATGGTACAAACTGTTGGATTATGCTTATAAAATTTTCAATTTGTTTCAAACTGAATGTACAAGTGCTAAGGAATCTAGAAACTTTGGTAAATCATATAACGAATTGTTTGTTGAATGAAGAAAATATATTACGTGGAATTTAAGGGTGCATGAATTTTCTGTATTGAGAAATGGTTTTATTAAATCATTGCTGGCTTTGGCTTTATTACTAGTATTAGCGTACTTAAAATTTTGATACTTTTAAGTTACAGCCTCATTCGTGTCATGAAATCTACACCGTTTATATCGGACTTAAATTCTGTTTACTGCATTTGATAAAGTCGAGCACTCCTTGAAGATTATTAAAGAGACCCATTTCAGCACTTATGACTATTAATTTTCACTTGCATTAGGGATAATAATGTATCAGTACATTGCTTCGCTTTGGCGTCAAGGTTGATCGCCAACTTTGAAATGAGTCACTATAATGCATGACCTATATTTCACGCTTAAGAGATTTTAAGATCAATTTTTCAATACACAGTTCCTATTGCACGATACCGCACTGTTCAACATAAATAACGTTGAAAGCTGTAACTAACATGTTCACCAAGTGTAATTCTGTTTGGATATTTATATATGTCTTTAAGACAACCGACTAATTGATAAAACAAATTATCTTGGTGAATATTTTTTTATCTCATTTTTGTTTAATTTAACTCGTGTTAATACGTTATTAGTCTTGTGTCTTTTTTTAAGAAATATGTAAAAATAAGAGGCTGTGGTATATGATTGCCAATTATAGACAACTCTCCGCCAAAGTCAAAATGACGTAGAAGTTAACAACTATAGGTCACCGCACGCGTACGCCTTCAAAAATGAGCAAAACCTATACCGCATAACAAGCTATAAAGGTCCCGAAATCACAAATGACAAATGTACATTTCAATCGAGAAAGCTAATTGCCTGAATTATATAAAAAACCGTGATAAACGAAAAATAAAAATGATATACAGCAACAAGCGACAACCATTGAATTACAGGCTCCTGGCATGCTTGGGACAGGAACATTAAAACTGTTTCGGGAATGCTGGATGTTCATTAAAGGGATAGAAAATTTCCCTCATTTGGTTTACATAGTGAATTTGGATAATAATGAAACTTAATTATATATATATACTTTAAGTATTTTCAACAATTTCACAGAAATGTATTGTACAGTACTGTAAAATCATGTATATCATTGGACTTCAGGAACCAATTCAAAACGAATGAGTTGTTAATGAAAGCTAACAATAGCTTTACATCCAATCGCTAAAAAACATTTGTATTAGGTTATTATAGGCAATCGGCGAATACCCAAAATCCTGACTGAATACAGACAACTCAGTTTAATTTTGTTGATGCAATGCAAATTATACGTGAACTTAAATTGCTATCACAGTCTGATGAAATAAGTTTTGTTTCAGTTGTAAGTGAATGGCAGTCACATACACATAAGTCGCTCGTTCGTCTCTCTTATATACAACTCCTTGTAAATGTAGAACCATGTTATACAAAGGAACATGTATGAAAATATATGTATATAGACATACTTGTCGTTGGTTGCTGTCTATCATAAGTTTTTTTTTGTTTATTATTTTGTACATAAATCGATTTTCTCACAATATGGTATTTGCTCATCATTGAAGGCCAGACGGTAATTATAGTTGCTAACATGTTTGTTATTTGGATAGTTGTCTCTGTGGCAATCATACATCATTTTCTTATTTGTATACGGTTTGCTATGTCAGTTTTTGTATGCCTCATTTTCTAATTATTGTTCTTTTTATATCGGTGCAAATTGTATTTTCATGGCATAAGAAAATCATGCCAAAGAAATCCAAAGAAATCCAAAGAAATAATATCTGTTCATGCTATATATACTTTAATACCTTGCTATTTCAGGAAGTCTGTAGGCTTTACCTTCTATTACAACGTAATTATACAAAAAGTTGTTTTGTGTTATTGTTTCCAGTTGTTGTTTTTTTAGGAAGAAGTTTCCTTGTAAAGTGGAATGAATGCTTCTTATAAATGCAATACAAGTTAAACACGCCTAGCAATTCAATGCCAATAAAAGATATATGTAGAACACGCCTAACAATTCAATGTCAATAAAAGATACATGATAAAAATGAGGCAACAAACCAATGATGAACATCTGATCCATATATCAGGTATTTTATGTATTATATCTATATAATGTTTTCTAGGTTTGCATGTTACACATGAGTATATAACCTAAGGCTTGAATCGATGATTTTTTATTGTGGTTGTTTTGTGTGCATTACTTTTCATGCCTTTCTCTCGCCCGCTGCTGAAATTTTGAAGTCTATAAACTTCTCGTTGCAGCAAAAATTACATTTTTGATTTTGGTATAATGTTACTTTCCAAATGATGAATTTGCTACCATTGGTTATGTTTTTGGTTTGTTTTTTTGTATTATTGTTGTTAAAATATTTGTTTTGTTTTGTTTTTTTTTGGTTTGTTATATTAAACCGCTTTCCTCAATCAAAATAAAAAAAATTATTAACTCAGTCTATACATATTGGTTATTCAAAATTCTCATGTTACCCAGATATATATATAATTATGTTTATATTATTATTATATCATGGATCTTCCAATTCAGTACATTAATCTTTCTAATGGAAAGACTTATTGGTAAATAATAAAGACTTATTAGTATAATAATTATCATGATAGAATTAAGCAATCAAAATTATTTATTCAACATATTCATAAAGAGATTAATTTTAACAAAAAGTTAAGCTTTAAATCTGGTTAATCCTTAAACGGATAATAATTGTGCAATAACGTGTTTAATTTAAATCTTCTTATAGTTTTTGTCTTTTTTACTTATCACGCTTCTTAACATTGCGTGTGGTTGGTGTTTGTACTTTACCGCACATATTCAGCGATAGAAAATTTGCATAATCATAAAACCGTTTAAACTCGTACAAAAAATGGCTTTCAAAAAGGATAAAACAATAAACACATCGACATTTATAGTTTTTCACTCGAAAAAAGCTGTACAAGTTAAACAATTTCATTTACTAACCATAATTTTTTTTAACAATTATTTGACAATTTTATCGTCTTTATCAAATCCAGCCAGTCTTTTTAAATACTTATAAAAAAAATAATAATTAATTTCATTTTCGGTTACAAAAAAAATATCTGATTTCTGATGTGTTGATGCTTTTATTTTTGATAATTTTACTTCATATTTTAAAAGATAATAGAAATCAAACAAGTAAATAAGATAAAATTAGGCTTAAAATATGATTTTCCTAAACGGATAATATTGAGCTGATTATGAAGAAAAGATTTACAATCGCTGACTATTTGTTTACTTATAATGACACCTTTCACAATAATTTTCAACTGAAAGAAACTTTAATACGATTGAATTTATGAATTTATCTAACAACGGGTTTAGATTTACTACAGCCGTATTCAAATCAAAATATTAAATCTGATGTTATAAACCACTTTTCCATACTAATTAGTACCTTTTCAAAATATTTTCATTGAGAAATTGTTCAAGTTTAACTTGGATTAATTTAACAAGACTTAAGAACCGTTAGATTTGGTAATGTAACATAATCCAAAATTTTACAGAAGACAAACTTTTTGTCCTTTTCTTGATGTATGCAGGAAATGTTCAGCGAAAATATTTTTTGTGTAAAAAAAAATGTTTTTTCCAGCATTTGTTTTTCATACTGACATTTCTTGTGTAAGATTTCATCCAACTTTCAATATTTACAAATCACTGAATAAATACTATATAATTTTAATAGTTACTATTGTCATCATCATCACCATCATATATAAAGATGATAGAACATGACATTTCGTATAAACATTTGTCTATTGTTAATGACGGTATCTTTCTTGACGTGTTTTGCGTGTATGTCGTTGAGTTGTTTCGTTTTCTTCATATTTTGAACAGTAAAATGTTTTATTTTCATAAGGAACTACCGAAACCTCGCATAACTTTGTAACAATCCTTAAACACTGACAGAGGACGAATACACGGTCAATAACAATATATAAAGAAGAAAACAAAGACGTTTATTTTCATTACCCTTTATAACATATAATTTCCAATAAAAGGTAATTACATGAAATATGTCCCTGAAAAAAGAAGTCTCTTTGGTCTTTAGCTGATAAACAACACATTCAAAAACGGAATGAAACACAACGATAAATAAACAGTACTTACATGAACTGATAATAAATAAATATATAACATAGATATAGAAGTATTATAACGTTATACGGGCCATCCATTTATACCATATATTTGTAGATATTTTCTATACTTTTCAATGTCTATTGAGTTCATTTGTGTAAGTGCAGCTTGAAGTTGAGCCAGGTATGTTGCGTTATTTAATTTAGAAATGTCATTGTCACCATGCCTTAACTGTGGTATCGAGGACATCTGGGCGAGTCCCGATAATGGTGGTCTAAATGATGATGTTGACGGCACTTTCTGTGCTTTCTGCGTTTCCGTATTACCAATTATTTTGTCAATCGAAAAGTCTGCTTTAGTTGCTGGCGGACTAGAGCTTATTACCTTGGGAGACGTTGAAGGTCCTCTCTCCCTTACTGGTAATGATATGGGGGGTAGCGGAGTTCTTGTGGCGACCTCCTGTTGTAAAAGGTGGTGATGTGGTGTCATCATTGGTGACAGATACGGATAAGGTAAACTCGTTCCAATTACTGACGGATGCGGTGCGTGTGGCGAGAATAATCCATGGTGGTGATGGTGAAAATACGGAGAATGAGCAAATGCTGTTGATTGTTGCATCATCTCTAATGACGGACGTTTAAACCGTTTTCGTCTCCTGAGAAAGCTTCCGTTATCAAACATATCTTCTGATCGAGGATCTAGGCTCCAGTAATTTCCTTTACCTGGATTTCCAGGTTCTCTTGGGATTTTTATAAAACAGTCATTTAAAGATAAATTATGGCGAATGCTATTTTGCCATGCTGGAAACTTTTCTCTGTAGTAAGGAAATCTTCCCATGATAAATTCACAAATCCCCGACAAGGTCAATCTTTTCCTAGGTGACTGAAGAACTGCCATAGTTATTAAAGCAATATATGAGTATGGTGGCTTTACAAGATTCGACCGTTTCTTATGTCCTGTACTACTTTTTTCTATCACACTTTCGGGATCTGTATGCTTTCCATTTTCGTTTATACTGTCTTCGTTAAACGTTTCAGAAGTCGAATGCTCAAAAGACGAATTGTGAGAAGAATCATATTCGGACTGGCCGGGAGATACAGGTATATCTTCAATGTCAATGTCTTCATCTTCACTTTCGTTTTCCCACAAATTTTTATTACTTTCAGGACACATTGACTGTTTATTGTCAGTAATTTCCCTGTTCATCAACATTTAGAACGGAAAATGTATAAGTTCAATAAAAATCAAAATAATTCCAATTTTAAATAATCTAATGCACTTTTCAAACGTTATTCAGTTACTGGTATACAGATATGATAGGATCAGCATGTATTATATCGTATAATGAAGTGCGATTAACTGGCCGGTATCATTTTATGGAATGTGTAAATAAATAATCATTAAGAACTATCACTTTTGACTACACGTGATTCTATGTCAACATATGGGAGGAGCTTGAGAATATTTGGTTAACGCCTATCATAATTATTTTATCCGCATACGAAATGATAATGTATTCTGCTTAAGCTATTTAAAACAGAATATTTAAGTATAAGAAGCATTAAAAACAAAGTACCAAACAATTATTGACTATTCAAAAATGTGTTCTAGAGCAATATCCCCTCGAAGACAATATATTTTTTTACAAATGTATCTAAGCCCAGTTTTATTACTCAGACAAAAAGGTGTGACAAATTTAATTAAAATTTACCAAAAAGAAAATAAAAAAAAAAACATTTAAGTAATTTTGGTCAATCTATTAAGAAATGCAACAGACCTTAATTAATATCTAACGTAAATTATTTTAAAAAAAGTTTTCCGTGTGAGAAAATTTTATTGTTATGAGTTTTGAACGCAAGCCCCTTGATTTTTTTCTTATCAAAGCCATTTTCAAAAAGTCTTTCAATCTATAACGAATTATAGCATCATTCTGTCTTATTTCTTAACCAGTCATAAATTTCATAACTGTAACTGAAACATTTTGGGTTTTGACTTTTCGTCAAAAAGATGACAAAGAAGATAACAAATCAGTCTGACCTGAAGCAATGCATATCTTTTCTGTTTTGGTACTGGATCGGATTTCCAAGTTGCGAAATTTTACAATAAGATGTAATCTACGATATTGTATCAAACTTGTCGTCAGCATCAATGTGTAGTTCTGAACAACATTTTGATTTACGAATAGATGTATATCTTTGAAATTTATTAAAGAACACAATTAAGACATATTCAAATCCTTAAAGGGGAATTTTTAATCCCGTAAGGGAACCGTTAGCAAATACAAATTGTTATGCAGCGTAAGGTAGCAATACACAGTTAGGAGTTTGGTTTCGCATTTTGGCCCCGGTGGATTTTTCAAATATGAAAGTTATTGTGTAATAAAATTCATTTTTAGAGAGCTGAGTACTAATTTAGCCTTCAAAGGTGGTTTATAAGAACATCAAGATTATTTTTTACATGTTTTATTGGCTATTTTCTGTTTGACTATCCGTATTTACATAGCTAGACCGGTCATCGGTCCAGAAATTAATGTAATGTTTACAAACACTTTTTTTCTACACGAAGTTTTTGACGCAATTTTACAAAAAAATGAGACGAAAGACATATGATTTTCATTGGATTTATTGAAAGATATATGTAAACAGTTTCAGATAAGGTATTACTTGAAGTGATTGAAATTCTACTTTTGGTCAAATGTTGGGAAAATATGTGACATCTTTTCCCCCCTTTTTGCTATATTTTATAACAAAAGAATGCAGATTGTTGCCATGGATACACCAAAAAGAAATTATATTTAACCATTTTATATACTGGATATGAAATCTATGGAAGATTCTGATTACATACATATGCACATATATGACACAAACAGTAAGCTTAATATTGCAAGAAGGCAATGAAAAGGGGATGGTAAAATTTATGAGGGAAAATTTTAACATTTTTTCCTAACTGTTTATTGCTACCTAAGAGCTTGAGTATTTCTTATGGGAATGATATATATATATATAATATGATAGTCCCGGCCTCGAATATCTCTTACCAATAAGAGCACTTAATACATATGAAGATTCTATATATTGTTTTCAAGATTTTGGTGATACATATAACAAAAATCAAAGTGTTCCATACATTTTTACCCGTGAAATTTGTTCATCGACTCGTGTGAAATATTGTATTTGTTTACATTTAGATTTGAAGTGTCCACCATGAATGAAATAATGTCTATTAAATAGTGGTATTCACAGTTTATTCCGAGGACATTATTTTGTTAAAAGTTATTGGTCATATTCTTGGGATTGTAGGGCAATAAGTTAAAAATGAAACTACATGTATTCTCTGCATATAGATTTCCATTATGTTTTATAATCACCACACCGCATAATTTTTCAATAACATATGTTCTTTGCCTGAATTTTGTATAGAAATGAACATTACATCTTTACCAAACAATCTGTCGGCGAAGGGCAGTATCTGGTGCCAGTCAATGAAAGCGTTTTAGGACTAAGACATGACTATATTGAAGAGTTTTTTATTGCGAAATATTTATTAAAAGAAGTAAGGATAACAGAATATGTTATCACACCCTTTTCCAATAATAAATGTAATATATTCCCAATTACCCCTTTATTTGCTGCACTCGCAGTGGCAAATTCTGAAAATTGTTTTGAAACGTACCGGAGTTTGAACATAACAGAGTCTCAATAATAATATTAAAAGATTTTCAATAATCATGTACTAGTATTTATTCTAAAACCAGTTGTTGGCATGACACGGGTTATGTTTTTCTCATATATTATATGACGGTATAATACTAAACCCCTAACAGGAGGGATTGTGCCTGATATTCATATGATGAAGACATAATCTTTCAATCAGTTTAATTGAGGTCTGGAGCTGGCATGTCAGTAACTGCTAGTTGTCTGTTGTTATTTATGTATTATTGTCATTTTGTTTATTTTCTTTTGTTTCCTATTCTGACATCGGACTCGGACTTCTCTTGAACTGAGTTTTACTGTGCGTACTGTTGTACGTTTGTTTTTTCTACATTGGCTAGAGGTATAGGGGGAGGGTTGAGATCTCAAAAAACATGTTTAACCCCGCCGCATTTTTGCGCCTGTCCCAAGTCAGGAGCCTCTGGCCTTTGTTAGTCTTGTATCATTTTTAATTTTAGTTTCTTGTGTATAATTTGGAGTTTAGTATGGCGTCCATTATCACTGAACTAGTATACATATTTGTTTAGGGGCCAGCCTCCGGGTGCGGGAGTTTCTCGCTGCATTGAAGACCCATTGGTGGCCTTCGGCTGTTGTCTGATCTATGGTCGGGTTGTTGTCTCTTTGACACATTCCCCATTTCCGTTCTCAATTTTAGTATGTATATTTATGTATATTCATGTGACACCAAAAATTTAATACTCGCTATACCTCTTGCTTTTGAAGACAATATTGCTAGCTTTGTTTTCTTCAATTTTCATGTTTTTGTATAAAAAAAATATCATCGAAGGACATCGTTAATCAACATGAATCAATTTGTATTTGCAAAACAATAATATGCTTTACTTTGAATAGCTGCATTGGTTTGCTTTTGGAAAAGAAAGTAATCGTTATTCCTTGTTTATGAAAAATGCTTAAAATTGTGTCCAAATTCACCTGTATTGAAATTTTTAGCCATCTTTATGTGTTCATAATTTTGTTAAATGCTAAGAAATATGGCATTGGGTTATTAAAATCTCAAATCAAAGACATCGTGTGTCGTACTCGTGAATAACGGTATATTTTATTTATCCAATCATAAAATAATGTCAGAATTTTTGTTTTTGCCATGGATTTTTTTTTTAATACATGTACTATCTTGGAATATAGTTCATTTGTTCTTTCCTGTTCAATCTTCATAATTTTATCCGTATATAAGTAAAAATATATTGATAAGGACTGTACACTTTTTTTTTTTAATTTTCACCTAGAAAGAATGCTATTACATGAACACTCGTATCTTCTGTTGTTGCTCATAGGTTTAGAGATATGTGCATAGTTGCATTTCAGAATGCATGTATATCAGTACCAATCTCCTTGCGTTAATTCAACATAAATTTCTAGGTCGTTTCCAAGAAACAAACAATTATTTGTTTGATGCTTAAAGCACACTCGAAGGCTTTAAACAACAACCCTTTTTAACCAAAAATGGTTTTCCGGCACATGATCGTTTTCAAAGCTTTCAAAGCATTCGTAATTCAAAGTTGCTAATGTTTTGAAATGCAGTTTTGCGTGAAGGAGGTTATATGAAACGTTATACTCTAAATAGCGATTTTTTTAAATTTTTATATACGGTGTAGAGTACACGTAGAAACAAGTCTTCTGTGTTGTTTCTTTGAAATGTTTTCTGTTTTTGCACAAGGATCAAAATATCTATTGAAATGTTTAATGGTCATTTACATACTAGATACATCTCTGAAATGTTTTTCTGTCATCTAACTGAGAGGGAAAACTACTCAATGAAACTCATTATATACCACTGTATTAGCCGCAGTTATAACAGTTTTGAGTAATGTTTGGTATACTCTAGGTTCTGCTTTACAGATGCGCAGGTCGCCTAAAACTACACTTGTATTGTGTTGTAAATTTTGATATTATTGGACAGAGCAAAGTTTATTCTTTTGTTTTGTTTTGGAAACTAATTTTCTGTTTGGTATACTCTAGGTTCTGCTTTACAGATGCGCAGGTCGCCTAAAACTACACTTGTAGTGTGTTGTAAATTTTGATTTTATTGGACAGAGCAAAGTTTATTCTTTTGTTTTGTTTTGGAAACTAATTTTCTGCACACCATATCAACTAAATCAGTATAACTTTTGAATTTAATGCTAAATGATTTGCTGAGTTTGCCCTAGATGTTAAACGTGCACTTAGTTGGTATGAATTCGTTAACAACTATCATACATTTCTAATCTCTAAGTTGTTTCGTAAACTGCATCCTTTAGAATGTACAATGAAAACAGGGGTTGTCATGGGTATACAAGGGGCGTACTTCCGTGTAAATATATATACAATTTGGAACATTGTTTTTGTTTTTAAATATACAAAAGTTTAAAGAATTTGTTTAACAATAATAGGCTATCAAAATATCGTTATGTGTGATTATTTGGCCACCATCTCCTTTGCTAAATATGAATGTTTGGTTCTAAACATCAGTATCGTATAAACTCTTTAAGTATACAGTGGTCACACTTTCACATTAGAGCTTGTTACTGGGTAAACAAACTTGGTTAAATTTCAGAATCTTTCCACAAAATTTGTCAACTGTTTAGCAAACACTCGACA